CTCATGATGGTGATGGTAATGATGGTGATGATGATGACGATGATGATGATGATGGTGATGTTGATGGTGTTGATGCTGCTGATGATGATGACGAGGAGGAGGAGGAGGAGGATGAGGAGGTTGGTGGTGGTGATGCTGATAATGACGATGATGACGATTACGATGACGAATGATGATGATGACGACGACGATGGCGATGATGCTGATGATGACGACGATGATGCTGATGATGATGGTGATGGTGATGACCAGGATGAGGATGAGGATGAGGATGAGGATGATGGTGATGATGACGATGCCGATGACGATAGGGATGGTGACGATGACGACGATGACGATTACGATGATGATTCCGATGACGATGATGATGGTGATGATGGTGATGATGCTGACGATGATGATGATGATGATGATGATGATGATGATGATGCTGCTGCTGCTGCTGCTGCTGCTGATGATGATACTGATGGTGATGATGCTGATGATGATGATGATGATGACGATACTGATGATGATGACGAGGAGGACGAGGAGGAGGAGGAGGAGGTTCGTGGTGTTGGTGGTCGTGGTGGTGATGATGATGCTGATGATGATGATGATGATGATGATGATGATGATGATGATGATAATGATGATGATGATGATGATGATGATGATGATGACGAGGAGGACCAGGAGGAGAAGGATGGTGGTGGTGGTTGTCGTCGTGCTGCTGCTGCTGCTGATGATGATGATGGTGATGACACGGAGGAGGGGGAGGAGGAGGAGGAGAAGGAGTAGGAGGAGGACGGTGGTGGTGGTGGTGATGATGATGTTGATGTTGCTGCTGATGATGATGATGATGATGATGATTATGATGATGATTATGATGATGATGCTGATGGTGATGATGACGACGACGCGGAGGAGCCGGAGGAGGAGGGGGAGGAGGGGGAGGAGGATGCGGACGATGATGATGATGACGATGTTCACGACGATGTCGGTGATGATGATGCTGATGATGATAATTATGATAAGGATAATGATGATGACGAGGAGGACGAGGAGGAGGATGGTGGTGGTGGTGATGATGATGATGTGAATGATGATGACGAGGGGGACCAGGAGGAGGAGGAGGAGCAGGATGGTGGTGCTGGTGGTCGTGGTGGTGATGATGATGCTGCTGCTGATGATGATGATGATGACGACGCGGAGGAGGAGGAGGAGGAGCAGGAGAAGGAGTAGGAGGAGGACAGTGGTTGTGGTTGTGATGATGATGCTGATGATGATGATGATGATGATGATTCTGTTGCTGCTGATGATGATGAGGATGATGATGATGATGCTGATGATGACGATTATGATAATGATGATGATGATGATGATGATGATGACGGTGCTGCTGATGATGATGATGATGATGATGATGATGATGACGATGACGATGACGATGACGATGACGCGGAGGTTGAGGATGAGGAGGAGGACGGTGGTGGTGGTGGTTGTGGTGATGATGATGATGGTTATGCTGCTGCTGATGATGATGATGCTGATGATGATGCTGATGAGGATGATGATGATGCTGATTCTGATGCTGATGCTGATGATGCTGATTCTGATGCTGATGCTGATGCTGATGCTGATGACGATGACGATGATGATGATGAAGAAGAAGATGCTGATGCTGCTGTTGCTGCTGATGATGCTGATGATGATGATGCTGTTACTGCTGCTGCTGCTGCTGCTGCTGCTGCTGCTGCTGCTGATGATGATGATGATGATGATGATGATGATGATGATGATGATGATGATGATGATGATGATGATGGGTTCCAGCGAGAGAGGACAGCCGACACCAGAAGCTCCATGCTGCTGCCAGGCGAAGGGGGGGGGCAGCAGGGGGGAGGCAGGCAGACGACGACGAACGCGCAGGCGGGAGGCTGGGGCAGGGGGTGCGGGCGGGCATGCAGGCTGGAGGGTGGCCGGGCGGAGCAATCTCCCGAGGTTTCGGGGCTCAAGAGACGGGGGTCAATGCAAACGGGGGTCAGCCAGAGCGCCAGATCTTGCAGGATCCTGCAGGTCCAGGGTCGCATTGACCCGGGTTCGGGCGCAGAAGATTGCAGGATCTTGCAGGATCCTTCGCATTGACCCGGGTTTAGGTGCAGGATTTTGCAGGATTCTGCAACGCCTGACTGACCGGGTCTGGAGAGACCCGGGTCAGAAGGACCCCGAGGGAGGGTGGCCGAGGTTGCCCTTGCATCTTTCCCCTTCGGCCCAGCCTTGGCCGCTTTCGCTGGTCGCTCCCCGCCCGCAAGAAGTGCTGACATGGCCCTCCAAGGCCCTCGCATCCTTCTCGTGCGTCCCTGTTTTACGGGGTGGCTGTGTGGGCCTCCCTGCAAGTCACCACCCGCCTAACCAACCCAACCCAACCCGAACAGGCCCCCATTTGCCGTTCATTTCCAGTGGGGGGGGGATCGGGGAACATGCGAAAAACACATGTGGAACCCGTACCTTCCCCCCAACCCGAAACCCAGACACCTGGCCGCTCCAATTTTTCTATGCGTGGGCCCTGGATGTCCGGACCACTTCCCCAGGGCCGGTTTTTCGTCCTGCGTGGTTCTTTGACGCTGCCGAGGCCCGGCGCGGGCCCCCAGAGGCCACAAATTGCCAAATCCCGCCGCTCCCATTTTTTTGGAGCGTCGGCTCTAGGGTCAGGTTGGAGCTAGGTTGGGGTGGCCTGGTAGGTAGTCAACTTCGGGACGGAGGAGGAGGAGGAAAAGGAGGAGGAGGAGGAGGAGGAGGAGGAGGAGGAGGAGGGAGGAGGAGGAGGAGGAGGAGGAGAGGAGGAGGAGGAGCAGGAGGAGGAGGAGGGAGGAGGAGGAGGAGGAGGAGGAGGGGAGGAGGAGGAGGAGGAGGAGGAGGAGGAAAAGGACTCCCCTGGGCCCCCCCCCCCCCCTGGGAATGCAGCGCCGATGTGGAGCCAGCAAGAGGCCAGCCGCCCCAGCCCGCCGAGGGCCCAGGGGCGCCCACCGAGGCGCCCGCACGGGTGCCGGCGCAGGCCTCAGCGGCGCTGCCGGGGGGAGCGGCCGGCCGCCGGCTGGCGGGGGGCGCAGGGCTCCGCCGGCCTTCGGACTCCTCCTCCTCCTGCTGCTGCTCCTCCTCCTGCTGCTGCTGCTCCTCCGTAGCCATTGTGGCGCAAGACGGGTTTCTGTTTTGTTTTTCTCTCTAGCCTGCTCTGCCTTCGGTCTTGCTCATATTATCGTTTGGCCGCATTCGATGGTGCAGTTGGTTGTTTATTTCGCTCTCTCATCTGATGGATGCTGCGTGTGGACAAGTGTCTTCTCTGGCAAGTCGCGTGCTGCGCTTGATTTCTACGGCTGCGGGGCAACATTATTCAGGTCTCAACCAGGCGGTGTACTGTAACCGAAAGGGGCTCCCCACGGCGTTGAGACGCCGATTGCAACATATCGCCATAACTCACCAACATCTTCGGCATCACACCGAGGTGTGGGAATCGCAATTTCTTTCAGAATTGGAATCGGTACTCAAATATTCTTTTCCAGAGTTTGATGGGGTTGTCCCTATTTGTGTTCCGCGTTTTGATCAGCCCCGATCGTCACGATCTGTCTTGCGAAAGGAGGCCTCAGTGTTTGCTATGCCTTCGCCACCGGTTGTGGCTCCAGCTCCTGGGCCTGTTATTTCGGTCCAAGGGCTTTTGCAGGAGGCACAAACCGTGTACGACGGGCAGCTGGCAGCCTACAGTTCTCTGGTGGAGGACATGAACTCCACGATCGCACTGCTCAAAGGCACCTTGGAGAGAGTGGGTGAGTCATCTCCGTCTTCTGGGACTCCTTCGGGTTCTAGGTCATCCGCAGCTTCCGCGGCTCCCTCCTCTTCGGAAGATGCATGTGCCTTCGGCGAGGAGGCACTCGAGTCGGCCAAATTGTACACGGATGCCCAGATCCTGCAGGTGGGCCAGCGTGCACGGGATTATGTACACCAAGCTATTCGCGAAATGTTGAATGATTTAGCCGGCACAGTTGGGAAAGTGGTTTCTGCCCGATTGCCGGCTTTGCTGAACGAGGGTGTGGGGCAATCGATTGCGTCTACTATATCTGCTCAGCTACCAGAGCTGGTGGCCGGAAGCTTTGATTCCCAGATTGATGGCATCACAGAGTTCATCGCAAACAAGTTCTCGTTGCTGGACGGGCGTATTGAGGAGTTGAAGGATAGGGTCTCGAGATTTGAGTCTGCGGCGCCACTTTCACGGGCTCTTTCCTCTCCGACTGCTCGCGGCCGCTCTCCTGGCGTCGCGGGAACGCCCCGCCCTGGTGCGTCAGAGTTTGCACCGCCGCTGCCGCCGCCTGCCTATCCTCAATCCCGGTTGTGCCGCTACGGGCAAGGGTGTTTCAGGCGAAATTGCGTTTTCATTCACCCTGATGGCCGCACTCTCCCGCCCTCTGCAGAGCGGGAGGCCCTAGGGCGCGCGGACAGCGCCACAGCTGGCTCGGACGGTCCCCCGAGGATCTCGCCGACGGCTCGCCCGATTGATTACGGCAGGTTCGACATCCTAGCGGCGATGGAAGAGCTGGAGGAGGAGATTCAGGGGCATTTGATGGCCGCTGCCTTTCAGGGCCTTGTCCTGCCGATCCCTGAACCTGACATCGATTGAGTTGGCAATAGTGGATATTATCTGCACTGTCTTGCTCTTCCTGTCCCTCGGCTACTCGCTCTACTCTCTTTTCCTCTCCCTGGACTTCTTGGCGGTTGAGGCTATTATGTAAGGGGCTTCCGCCTTCGCTCATTCCTCGGTGCCGAGGTGCGGATTCGCCGTGTTTGTTATGTCACAGAGACTCCTGGGGAACGCTGTGCCTCCTGCTGCTGCTCCTCCTCCTCTCCTCCTCCTCCTCCTCCTCCTCCTCCTCCCCCCTCCTGGCCCCCGCCCAAGAGCAGGATGTGAGGTTGTCCGCGGGGGCCCCAGCCCCCCTCGCTCCGTCAGGAGCCGCGCCGCGGCGCGGGCGATGGCGGGTGCGCAGGCGGCCAGTGGCAGGTCCACGAGGGCGCTGCCACTGCCCGTGGGGGTCTTCAACCCGTTGAGCGCGCTGGGGGCAAGGGCCAAGGATATTTCTGATGAGGTCGGCAACTTCGACGTGTTCGCGCTCGTGGGCACGCAGTGCAGAGCCCCCCCCTGGTTAGTCGCACGGACTCCAGCCAGACACGACGGGAATATTGGGCATTGATTCAGGCTGGTGCCGAGGAGTTTATACAAACAGTTCAGCTGGCTGCAGGCTCCTGTGGGGAAGGCGTTTCTCAAAATACCATCTCAGACGAGTGTTCTCCATTCCTGCGCCTTTAGAAGGGCGTGCCTTGGCGGCGAGATGCAAGAATGGCCTGGTGGACTTGACGGCGATTCCCATGTATTTCCCACCGCGCCCCAGGACAGCAAAGGCTGGTGCACACTACAAAGAGACCTTCATGCGCATGACACAATGGCTGGACCAGGTGCAACAGCATACCCCGCATTCTTCGCTGGCGCTGATGTTGACAGTTCTCAACGACGGCATCGGCATCGGCTCTCTGGTCAAGACAGGCTATGTCGGCGAGGCAGTGATCAGCGAGGCCAACGCGACTAAGAAGCTCACAAAGGGTGCGGGAGAACATGTGCGTGATATTCTCAGGAGGCAACATATGACAGTTTACAATGGCAGCTCGGACGCAACCTGGCTTGGCAACGAAGGTGACGCATCTCGCATATATTGCATCATGTGTCCTCTTGCCTGGAAAGACGCATGCCAGCAATGTAGCTGAAACTCGGCAGACGTCTTCAACTAATTCGGCATCGTGAACTGCGAGATCATGGTCCAATGTATGCGCGCATTTTATACGACATGTTGGCCACTTGCGACGATATGGGATCAGAGCGTAGTCGAGAGAAGTGGGATCGATATTCATTGGTACACGGCCTACGACACGGTGATCTTAGTCATGAGTATTTGAAGCAGTTGAATTACTTCTTGCGTAGCCACATGACGGGGCTTGGTCCAGCTAGGCCTGCAGGGGACTCCCGACGCCATCTTCGCCTATGTAGAGCAGCGCGTTGTTAAGGTCGGGCTGGACTTCTTCCTCACTCCACACCTTGTTGACGAGCGACAGCGACGTGATGTAAGAGGGGCTACGCGGGCCACGGGCGCCACCAAGGAGGAGGTCGAGGCGCAGCTCACAGCTTTTTTCAAAAGAGTGCGGGCGAGTCAGAAGTTGGGTGTGAGCAAGTTCCAGATGAGATCCCCGACATTCCTGACCTTTTGCTATCTAGGACAGACGATGCGGACGTTCCTGAGTTCCACGGTGACCACGCAACCGGTGTCTCTCTGGAACGTCAGCGCGACATCGAGAGGTTGAAGTGGTATCTTGTGAAGACGCCAAAGAGAACAGCGTGCCCAGCTGGCCCACCACCCGCGGAGCTGTTTTGGATGATTCTGAATCCTCAAGGAGATGCATTGCCCACAGGAGTAGGCTACGACCTGCAGGATACGGATACCAGTTAAATCGAGGCGTGCCTGCACATGGCCTTCCACAACATGCGCTACCATCCGATCGCACCGCTGAACTAGCACGTAAGTGAGTGCTTCGCTGCACGGAAGAGTGAGCGATCAGGACCTAACTAACGACGGTAATTGCACATTCTCCGTGTCTTGGGTAAAGGTTTCTTCGCCAACTGCATCGGAGCACGCCGCCCGGGGCCCCCTTCTGCAGAGCATCATGGGTGCGCGACGGGGCAACGTAGAGAGACCGCCAATTATGGCGGCGATGATCACGGGGCGCGCTCTCGGGCAATTGAAGTGCTCCTACGTTGGCAGCTTCAAAGACATGACCAACGCTTTCCCATCGGTGGGCTGGCAGTATATGGAGCAGGCGGCAGCAGTATTGGTAAGAGAACGAGATCGAGGGCTCAAGTGCGACTGCCAGCAGCTGACTGCGCGCCCCACTTGAGGCCGACGAAAGGAGGCCTCATGGGGGACCCGTTCATGGTGCACTGCTTCCCCCGTGCCTTTACCCGCGCCATCGAGCCACGGGCGACGCAGTGGCGTCGCCAGGGCGACGCGGGCAGAATGCCCGTGGTCAAGTGTCCGATCACTCGACGCGAAATCGATCTCAGTCTGCGCCTGCGCGCTGACGACATCAACGAGGCGATGTTGCAGCGCTTCCCCCACGCGCAAAGAGTGCGTGCATTTGGGCCAGCTGCGCGGCGAGCTCCAGGACTGCGCCGAGATCCCGGACCAACGGCTGCTCAGGATCGGTCTGGCTCATAACAAGCTATGCAGGTCAACGTCATGGCGATGCGTGAAATTGGAAGTGGCATAGCGAGAGAGGGTTTGCGGCGCCTGGGGCAGCGCGAGAAGCGGGGCGGACAGATGGTGGAACGGGCGCGCTACCTGGCCCCCCCCATTCCCACGCGCATCCAGAGCTTTGGCATCGAATTGGCGAAGCGAGTGCAGGCGGCCAAGGCGGCTTTTCACTCTGCGGGGTCCTTCTGGGGCGCTAAGCGCGCCGTGGAGGTGGATGCGGGGCCGTGTTGATTGGGCGAGTGGCCGCTGCTGCGCTCGAGGCTGCGGAGGCTTCCGTTCCCGCGAGGAGGCAGTGGCAGTGCGACGCGCTCGACGGGGCGATTGCTTCCCTGGCGCGCATTGCTATGAGGGGCGCAGCTTCTTGTGCACGCAGCGAAGAGGATGGCGCGGCGCGGTCGCTCGCGAACAGAAAGGTCTCGGAGCGCTGGCAGATGCCCAGGTCAGAAGTCGAACTGCGGGGGGGGGGGGGGGGGGCTGGAGTGGCTGCGGCGGGCGGCCAGGGGCAGGGGCAACAGTGCCCAGTTCTTCAGGGCCCTTTTCGGCGCCGTCTGCGGCCGGCGGCAGAGCGCGGTGGCTGAGGATGACTCTTTGCGCTGGCCCACCCTTGGGCAGAGCGGGTTCAGCAAGGCGCTGACTCGCTCACTCGGGTCTCGGAAGAGGCCCAGGCATTGAAGGGTCTCGGAAGGGGCCGTGGCTGGGCTAAACGATCCGCAAATGCGAGATGACCTTTGCAACGTAGATGCGAACATTCTCGGAGCGAGCGAATTCAGGATAAACGTGCCGCCCCCAGCTTGCAGACCCCTGGGCCCGACGCAAAACGACGAAGGGGGGGGCAGGTCATTCTCGAGGTGGAGGAGGTGTATACGTGTCAGTTGTTGAGAGATGGGCGATCGCGCGGCCGAGGATTCCATTCGAAGCGGGCCCTTCGCGCGCGCGCGCTCGGCAAGGGCGCAGCGTCGTCGACGTATGCTCGTTCTTTAATTTGACCAACGTCTGCATCGCGTGTGAAACGGTCTTTGCCTCAGAAGTCGCTGCGCGTTGGCACTTAGCGCGATCTATTCAAAGAGGCCAGTGTGTAGTTGATCTCGCTCGAGTACTCGTTCTCGCGCGGGAACCTTAATTAGTTCAGTGTCCTGGGTGCGAATGCGTAGCGGGGTCTTGGCTCGAGCTTCGAGGGCATCTTGCTCGCCGCCTGCCTTTTCTTCCTGATGTTCGCGCGCCCGCTGCCGTGGGCAGGGGCGTTCCACGTGGCCGAGGAAGTCGAGATAGTGGGCGACAGCGAACCGACGTGGATGAAGGAGGCGGGCGTCGCAGACGTTGCCCGGGGCCCGCCGAGAAACGAGCGCCCGGCGGGCGGGGCAGCAGCCGCGGGCTCTAATGATCAGAAGTCACAGAAGCTGCTCGAGCAGGCCAAAGGGGCGGCAGGACAAGGCGCCACCAACTCACAACTCGTTCAGCAGCTCACGCTCCTCCTCGCAAAGATGGTGCTCGGCGTGGCGGGGGGCCTCAGGTCGGTCATCAGCGTCGTCTTCGACGCAGCGATTAGCCCGCTGGCGGCCCCATTCGTCGAGGCGGCCATTCGAGCGGGCCAGAACCACCGCGAAGCGGCGATGGGGCGCGAAGAGGAAGCCGAGGACGACGACGCAGTGGGCGCGGCGGCGCTGGGGATCCCACATCTTCACGCATGGAAGGGTTTCATCAGGGCGCCTTTCGCGAGTGCCGAGGCAGGCCTGGCGCGCGCCACGCTCGCGAAGTATTGGACCGAAAATATCATGAAGTACGAGCTCAAGGATTCGGCGGCGGACGCCAAGCACTTCCGCGCGCGCGTGCCGCAGGGTAAGGAGGCCACGAGTAAGTCGAAGCGCGTGGAGGGCAAGGCGCGGCTGGGGTGGGCGCCCTCCGCGACCGCGATCGCTCGGGAGCTCGACGGCGCTATTCGCTCGGATATCGCGAGGCACGGTGGGGGGGGGATCCAGATCGGCGCTGCCCCGCGCGGGGTTTTGGAGAGGGACGCGCGAGCGCTCTTGAACAAGCTGGAGCCCAGTTAGGCGAGGCCGAAGCGAGGAGGATGATGAGTTTAGCTGATGGTGAGAGTCTGAGGGGCTGAATTTTCAGAGAGTCAGTCCTCGCCTCCTTCACCTCGTCCCTCTCTGAATCTGCTCTGGAGGATCTCAGGGGCCGAATTCTCCCAACCGCAGAATTTCAGCCGCGTCCTAAGGGGCGGGGCAAGGATAAAGGTGGGGGGGGACAAATCGCCCCCCTGAGCAAGGGAGAGGCTAGGGACCGCCTCCCTCCTGGCCCGGTGGTGTGGGATGCCGTTGGGGGCCCCTCGTTGCTGGGTGAGGAGCGGGTTGTCTCTCTGGTTGCGAACGTGTGGGCCGCCACCCTAGTGGCCTGTGGCCACGCCCCTTGGGTTGCCTGGGGGCCCGAGTGTTTTTTTCCACCAGTGCCAGTGTGCAGCAAGGTTGCAGCCACTCAGGTATGTCGCCCAGCGGACTCCAAGGTTGAAGCGTGACTATTCGTATTTGCTTTCGCCCAGGGATGCCAGCCAGTCAGTCTCCCCCCTCCTCCTCCTCCTCCTCCTCTTCCTCCTCCTCCTCCTCCTCCTCCTCCTCCTCCTCCTCCTGCGCCCCCCTCCTCCTCCTCCTCCTCCTCCTCCTCCTCCACCTCCACCTCCTCCTCCTCCCTCCTCCTCGTCGTCGTCCTCCTCCTCCTCCTCCTTCTCCTCCTCCTCTCCCTCCTCCTCCTCCTCCTCTCCTCCTCCTCCTCCTCCTCCTCCTCCTCCTCCTCCTCCTCCTCCTCCTCCTCCTCCCTCCTCCTCCCTCCC